CCCTTTGTAATCAGGTTGTTAGGGTTGCTGTTGGATTAGGACATCATAGTTGCACTGTAGTGCAGCATGCGACAATTAAAAGCTATACTTTAGCTGTTAGCAGTAGCGCATGGTCAAAGTAGCTAATTATTTTACTTGAATCTCTCTTCCAATTATGTCCTTCCATCTATGCTTTTTATCAGACAAGTTTATATTCTAGATTAATAACATGATAACATTGATATTCACCCACTGTGTTCTGTCTTCCCACTCCAATGCCCGGTCTCACGCAGGTCTTGGAACTGCAGAGTCCTCCCCGTGCAGCCAACGTGGTGCGAGATTGCGTCAAGGCCTGCCTGAACTCCACCTACGAGTATATCTTTAACAACTGTCTGGAGCTCTTCAACCGCCAGTTTCAACCCGCCGTCCAAGCAGTGAGTGGCTAAGTATCGACATGTTTAAAGCTTCCACAACAGATCAATACATCTTCTGACTGAGAGAAGTGATAATACAACAGTATTTCCCATCAGCTACAACCAAACCCTAAACAATATGTCTGTTAGAGTGATAGAAAGCAGTAGTTTGCTCTTTATCATTGTCAGTGTTGTAGTATGTTATCTATGAGTTACTTTTCATGTGACTACAGTGGTTTCTCCCTATTCTGTGGTTGATTTAACAATATTTAAATCAAGCAAACACCAGATTTAACTCTCAGTTTCTACATCAACTCCTCAAATTTCAATATTAATCACATTAATCTGCACTGCAGCCTGGTTTAAGCGATGCTCTAATGAGCCCCTATCTGTAGCAGCCACAGAAATATTTCCAGAACAAGCGAAATTTTTAACCTTGCCAAGAAAGATTTTTGTATTAGTGTGTCTAAAGTCATTAAACCATTCGAGTTCCCGAATAAATTAAAAATATGTGTTAATGGTGTCATTTTCAGCTTCGTGGAGTGTACAAAACCTTCTCACATAAATATGGAGCAAGAACATTTTTTAGAATGTGTCATATTAGTAAAATAGAGAAAAAAAATGATAAATTATTCATCGAAATTTCAACTGTCGAGCAAACTTCTGAACTTGTTTTGTTTTGAGCTTCTGTGTAGAACTGAAACATGTCAGGCAAGTCAATTCTTCCTTTATTTCATATTGTTTTTCACGTATGCAGCCCGAGCCAGACAAGAAGAAGAAGAAGAAGAAGGAAAAAGCAGAGGGTCAGGAAGCTGAAGATGATGATGAAGAGGAGGAGGATGAAGAAGAGGAGGAAGAGGAGGAGAAGAAAGAGGAGAGTCAACCGGAAGAGCAGGGCCCAAGCATCCAGAATCTGGACTTTTGGCCTAAACTCATCACACTCATTGTGTCCATCATTGAGGAGGATAAGAACTCGTACACGCCCATCATTAACCAGTCAGTGGTTTTCTTTTGTCTTCTGGGAAATGTATTGTTGCAAAAGTTGTCTTCATGGAGCAGAACTATCAAGTGTATTATATTTTTTAACTTATATATCTATTGTAATGAATTTTTAAAGACATATAGCACATTTTATTCATACGTAAGCTCATTGTGCTTAACACAAAATAAAAACATAAGAACCTGTGTAGGTTTTGCATTAAGGCAGTGAAAACAGCTAAATACATTTAAAAAAATAAAGACTGTTTACTACAAAAGTATAAAAGATCAACTAGGAACTAAAGGTGGTAGGTATTTTTTAATTAAAAAAAATAATAACAAAATAAATAACACTTTTATTGTTGAGCAAACTGTGTGGTCTGTGGAGGTGCTAGATAAAAAAAAATCTCCAAAACACAAAAGCTTTGTATGTTGCAATAGAATCTTTTCTTTTGTTATAAACAATCTTTTCTTATTTTTATTTATTCAGCTATTTTTACTGCCACAAGGCATTTCAAAACCAGGAAACCCAGGTAAATCTACTTCTGGTTTGCTGTAGATCAAGGGAAGTAACATTTAAAAAAAACAAGATGGGTTGAAGCAGAGCTTTTGATCAATAAGGTTTAATAGTTAACAACATAAAACACTTGCACGCTTGCAACTAGTGCAAAATGCTGCGGCACGATTTTTAACTGGCAGAAGGAAATTCGAGCACATCACTCTGGTTTTGGCTTCTCTACATTGGCTTCCAGTTGAATTTAGGATCCGGTTTAAAGTTATTTTATTGGTTTTTAAATCTCTAAATGCTCTGGCACCTGTTTAATTGTCTGACTTGTTGAAGCCCCCCGTCCCCATTCGTTCGCTTCGGTCAGCTGAGCAGCTGCTGCTTTCAGTCCCTAAGTCACGGCTGAAACTTAGAGGGGACCGAGCGTTCTCTGTTGTGGCTCTAATGCTTTGGAATAACCTTCCTCTCCATATTAGACAAACTCCATCAGTGCCAGTTTTTAAGTCCTTATTAAAAACCTATTTTTATTCCCTGGCTTTTAACTCTGTGGGTAACTGACATTTTATTGCTCCGTCTGGTTTTTGCTATTTTATTCCTATGTTTATATTTGTATTGTTCAGCACTTTGGTCTCCCAGGTGTGTTTTTAAAGTGCTATATAAATAAACGATGATGATGATGATAAAACCAACAGGTTGTGGGTGCTACTAAACTCAAATAACTATTTTTTGGTCAGCTGTTAGCTTGGATTAGAGCTTAACAGATATTGTGTTCAAGTTGAGATATTAAATGATATCCTGGATAAACCCCCAATCGTATGTTTGGGCTCAGTGGAAGCATAAGCAAAGTAACAGCAGCCAACCAGATGATCAAGACAAGTTTAAAGGGCAACATTTAACAACATTTCCAAAAATCCTTCAGATTCCAGTTACACTGGAAGAGAAAGGGGCTGCAGTGACCCCCGTTACTTGCAGAGTAACGAGTATTTTTACTGTCTTACTTCTTTATTCCTCCAGGTTTCCTCAAGAGCTCAATGTGGGTAAAGTCAGCGCAGAGGTCATGTGGATGCTCTTCGCTCAAGACATGAAATATGCCCTAGAGGGTAAGACTATATCTTTGCATACTTGGACAGTATATGTGTGTGTGTGTGTGTGACAGAGACATCTCAGAGAAACCAACTCCTTCCCTTCTGCATTCACACTGTCTTTTCTTCAATCCATCATCTCCTTCAGTGTTGGATAAGATTGACCACTACCACTGGAAGAATGGTGAGATTAGAGACAAAAATATGGAGATACAGTCAGAAAAGTCAGTAATCAGGATTCCAGAATAGGGTTAAGCATCTCCTGAGACCATTTCTATAAAAACATGTTCAAGCCTCTCAGCACTGAGCTAAAACACACTGACAGTAAGCATCAGAGAGTAAGAAATGTTCATCGTAATATCAAATAAAAGTGTGTGCAAAGTTCTGAGACTGTTGCTGATAAGGGGAAAATACAGGAAGCAGGTGTTATGTTGATATTTTTATAACATCAGTGATTTTCCCAGGAGCCTCCACTTTAGAAATGTGTGGACTTTCAAGATAAGTGCATATAGGTTAGTCCTCATAATGAGCTAACTTCGCTACCTAACAGTCAGCTGAGATCTGCTTAGCTGCTCAGTATTCTGACTTCTGATTGTGTCTCACGTCAGACTTGTTGAAACTGTAAAAGCTAGTGTCCTAAAACACATCACCTGAGCAGTGAGGTGTTTAAAACTTGGCTGTAACCCTGTGTGTTGAGTTTAGATGATTTGTTTTTAGTGTTGTAGTTGTTTCTCAGCAACAAAGAGAAACTTGTGAAAAAGTAGACTTTAGTAGCAAATTTGACTGGTGGCTGGTTTTCCAGCCTTCTGTTTTGTGCGTAGTGTACTTTCCAGCTCCTCTAGTATTTTTCTTCTAACGTGTTTTTCTGAAGCCGTTCTCATCGCAGTTATTGCTGCCACAAACTTGCTTCTCTTTCAGTTTCTATTCTTATTGCTTTTGTCATATTTCTGTTGCCATCTCAGCTCCTGCCACATTTCGTATCCGCAAAGTTGACTTCTACGCTGGTAAGAGTGTGTGTGTGATGAGTGTGCATGGACACATTTCTTTTGTCTTCAATATTTTACTAAGGGTTTTTGTTTTTGCACCAGTAAAAGTTGTTTAACTGCATTTATCTTTTACTTAATTAAATTAGAACAAACATTCCCCCTTTATTCGATCCATGTGTGTACATCCTTCTTCATAAATGATGCAGATGTTGTTTCTCTGTATAATTTATCCATTTTTTTTAGGAGTGAGACAATAACGGAGAAAAACGAGTGCATCAACTTGCAATCATGAAAACTATTAGCCTAGTGGACGTATTTTACTAACACATGTGTAGCAGTCTGAGTATTGGAGTGTTGATATGAAAAGAGCAGGCATCTCCACGTTCAACCCGGTAAAAACAGCTTATAACAGTCTATAATACTGGTATAATTATTAATTTTCAACATGTTATCAAATGTTCTGTAACGTAATCAGTGTGAGGATCTTAATGAGAAAATGTTTGTTTCTGACGGCGTTTCTATTGAGAATTATGCCGAGAATCTAAGACGAGCGGTGTGAAGGTTACAGTCTGAATCAGCTTCTCTCACCTTTA